AGTCCTGGTTTAGTCCTGGTTTAGTCCTGGTTTAGTCCTGTTCTGGTCCTGATTCTGATGCTGCTCATTTGTCATTTAAAACTCCTTCACTCCCCACTGTTACCAGCAGAGGGCGCAAGCGCACATTTTCCATCCAGCACAGAGCCCTGCAGCCAGAACTATGTTAAAATGTGAACCAGACTACTACATCAGAACATACATCATACATGCAAAATACTATTATACACATATTATTGTATTGTTTTCTTTGTTTTCTTCACAACTTTTAATTCACTTTTAAAATAGACTAAAATAAAAGCATGTTTTTCTTGGACTAAAAAAACATCCTTAGTGAGAGGGGGCTTCCATCTCCACAGACCTGACTTTAATCTCCTTTGGCTGTAATCTTCCAAAAAAACAACAACAAAAAACAAAGAAAGCGCTTAAAACTCGGGATGTAACAATAACTCAAATATCGTGATAATGTATTGTCAGAGTTGTCACAATAAAATCGTGGAGCATCACAATATATCCAATTACAAGTCTCTTTGCTTAAATTAAGAGTTATGGTGCAGCAATAACTAAAAAAAGACAAAGAACTACATAGACCATGATCCTTTGCTCCATTTCAGTGCAGACTACAAGAAGAAATAACAGTTCTAACACTTAAAGAAGGAAAAAGTAGAATATTCACAGTTTGTCGCAATTAATATCGTACTGTGAGATGTATATCGTGAAAATATTGTACTGACAGATTTGGATATTGTTATATCCCTCATCATGAGCCTCCCCACCATATCATGAATGAGCATTCCCACGATATTGCAATAAATATTGTACTGTGAGGTTCATACTGTGACAATATCGTATCGTGAGACTTGGATATCGTTACAACCCTAATTATAACACATCTTCATCCAGTGTATGTTTTTAACTTTGTATTTTCATGGAATCAGTCATGATGAGCTCCTCCAGAAAGTGACAGATGGGTCTGGTCAAGCAGAAGTAAACATCAAGGCCAAAAATTCTAGTTAATGCATCTGATATAAAAATGTATTGAACAGATACATATGTACTCTAGTTTATGAAACTGTTGACCTTTTTTCTGTACATTTTTGGTTCTAAAGTTCCATATGTTTTAAACAGACCATGTATGAAACATGGAACAAAAATTATTTCCCAAATTTCAAAGACCTGCAAATCATGTCAATAAATGGATGTATTTCATCATATCTTGTGTTATTCCATCTTTGAACTGCTGATGAAGGTACATGATTTTAAAAAAAAAAGTATTTAAAATGAAAAAAATTTGCTTGGAAGGACTGACATATTTTATAGAAATAGTTTCCTTTCATTTTGAAGTAATATTAAAGTTTTCTGAAGAAAAAAGCGACAAATGATGTAAAATCCTGCACCTTCTACTTGTTTGCACAATTTTCCCTCTGTTACTTTTCCCTCCGTTACCATGACCTTTCTTAATAAAAAATCTCATGACTCAAAAAGTAAGAGGTTTTTCAACCTAATCTTGTACCATATGGTAGAAAACTATATGAAGCAAATATTCAAACCAGTTTGTTAAGGATATGGAAGTGAGAACCAAGAGTTATCACTGTTTGGATTTATTGTCCAAAAGTGCTGCATATTTCATTCCCTCCGTTACCGACATGAGTTTTTAAATTTTTTGTCAACAACTTGAAAGAATATCACAGGTTTCACTTGACCCTGTTGGAGTGTAACTCTTTCCTACATTCTGATACTTTACTTATTTCAAGAGTTCCTCTAGTTTCTGAATAAGAGACATTTGAATATAAAAATCTGCCCCTGTTTCCCTCCGTTACCACTTGACCAGATCCAGACTCATATGACACTATTTTCTGATCTGTGCTATAATGTTGTTTCCTCGTCACAAACAGACCTGGAGTTGTGTTTTGTTTCATTCACACATGTTTAACATACAAACCTTCACATTTAGGCTGAGTTCTTTTCTCAAACTGAAAACACACTGTTCCACCTTGTGATGTCATGTGGTGATACAGAAAGTGCTCCAGTGTTTTTAAACTCCACACACCTTCACTAGAATCATTTGGATAATTTCAATCTAGGAATTTCCATTCTCTACTAGACAAAAGGTAAAAGGAGTTTTGAAAACTACCTCTTCTGACATCACAAGGTGGAACAGAGCATTTTGAGCTTTACAGATGTAGACAGACTAATAATAAATGGTCACTTAAGCATGTGTGACTGAAACAAAACACAACTCCAGGTCTGTTTTCAGTGAGGTAACAACATTAGAACATTACTTTAAGCTCACAAGAACTATTTTTACATAATATGGGAGCTTTAACGGTTTGTAATATTAATTTATTTATACCAGTTGAATTTGAATAAACAGAGGTGGGGACTTACAAGTCGTGACTTGGACTCGAGTCAGACTTGAGTCACTATTTTTAGGACTTGAGACTTTACTTGATAAAATGGACTAAGACTTGGGACTTGACTCAGACTTGAGGCCTGTGACTTGAGAAGACTCAATGCTTTTCCTAAAAATATATATATATCTTTTTATAAAATACTTTTCTGTTTACAGTTGATAAATGTGGAGCTGAATTTTACAGGAACAAACTGGAACATGTTCCTCCTACTTCTGTTTGATACTTTGGATGAAACTGAAGTACTAAGATACTCAAATGTACTACAGTAATATACAGAACAATACAGTAAAACAGAAGGAACTGCATAGAACATTATCCTTCCATTTCAGTGCAGAATACATGACAAAATAACTGTTACTAAACACTTTCAAATCTGAATTCTTTCTATTCTTATGTCATGATTCACACTAAAATCTTGTGAAAACATTTAAAAAAGAAAGATTTGCATTTGTACAACTCTTATATAAATATATATAATTATAATATATTATTATTATATTATAATTTATATATAAATACTCATATATAAATATACTATGACTTTTTAAGTACAATTTATCTTAAAATTCATATAAATTGCAAATATCTAAGCTATATTTGGTACTTTTTTGGTTTAAAGACTTGAAATGACTTGAAGCTCAAAGCAGACGACTTGGACTTGACTTGGACTTATGGGACAGTGACTTGAGACTCGACTTGGACTTGCCTGTATTTGACTTGGGACCTGACTCGGACTTGAGGGCGAAGACTTGAGGCTTACTTGAAACTTGCAAAACGATGACTTGGTTCCACCTCTGCTTAGAAACATAATGAAACATAAGAATGATTCATACTAAAATTTTAGGATATTTAAGATATTTAAAAAATAAAGATTTGCATTTGTACAACTCTTATATAAATACTCATATATAAATATACCATTTCAGTGCAGAATCCATGACAAAATATCTGTTATTAAGCTCTTTTAAATCTGAATTCTTTCTATTCTGACCATGATGATGATTCACACTAAGATCTTGTCAAAACATTAAAAAAAAAAAAAAAAAAAAAAGATTTGGATCTGTACAACTGTTATATAAATACTCATATATAAATATACCATGACTTTTTAAGTACAGTTTATCTTCAAATTTATGTAAACTGCAAAAATCAAACCTATATTTGGTACCTTTGTGGTTTAAAGACTTGAAATGACTTGACTTGAGACTAGACTTGGACTTGCCTGTATTTGACTTGGGACTTGACTCGGACTTTAGGTCAAAAACTTGAGACTTGCAAAACGACTTGGTCCAACCTCTGCTTAGAAACATAATGAAACATAAGAAACTTTTTTGGTTTAAAGACTTAAAAGGACTAGAAGCTCAAAGCAGACGACTTGGACTTGACTTGGACTTATGGGCCAGTGACTCGAAATTCAACTTGGACTTGCCTGTATTTGACTTGGTACTTGACTCGGACTTGAGGGCGAAGACTTCAGACGTGCAAAACGACTTGATCCCACCTCTGCTTAGAAACCCAACATAACAAAACATATAAGAAACTTTTTTGGTTTAAAGACTTGAAATGACTTGAAGCTCGAAGAAGACGACTTGGACTTGACTTGGACTTATGGGCCAGTGACTCGAGACTCAACTTGGACTTGCCTGTTTTTGACTTGGGACTTGACTCGGACTTGAAGTCAGAGACTTGAGACTTGCAAAATGACGACTTGTTCCGACCTCTGCGTAGAAACACAACATAATGAAACATGAGAATGATTCACATTAAGATCTTGTGAAGACATTTAAAAAAGAATGATTGATTTGCATTTGTACAACTCTTATTGACTTGACTTGATGTGGGCTTATGGGCCGGTGACTCAAGACTTGCCTTGGACTTACCTGTCTTTGACTTGGGGCTTGACTTGAACATGAGGTCAAAGACTTGAGACTTGCAAAACAATGACTTGGTCCCACCTCTGCTTAGAAACACAACATAATGAAACATAAGAATGATTCACACTAAGATCTTGTCAAAACATTAAAAAAGAAAGATTTGCATTTGACTTGGACTTATGGGCCAGTGACTCGAGACTCGACTTGGACTTGCCTGTATTTGACTTGGGACTTGACTCGGACTTGAGGAGAGAGACTTGAGACTTGCAAAACAACTTGGTCCAACCTCTGCTTAGAAACACAACATAATGAAACATAAGAAACTTTTTTGGTTTAAAGACTTGAAATGACTTGAAGCTCGAAGCAGACGACTTGGACTTGCCTGTATTTGACTTGGGACTTGACTCGGACTTGATGTCAAGAGACTTACTTGAGACTTGCAAAACGACGACTTGGTCAACATAATGAAACAGAAGAAAAGTTTTGGGAATATGAATAATTAAAGGATTTAAAAAAAGCAAGAATATTCCCTTTGCCAGACATTTTACGCGTGTGAATGATTCCACACCAATATTTACTCTCACTTCTCCACTGTCCGATTCCCCTCTAAAAAAAAATATCACTTTACATACATTTCCATAACCCCCGCGTTCCCAGGGCCGTGATTGGGCGCTGGTCACATGACGTCACTGGTCTCTGGGGGAGGGGGGCTGGAGCAGGTGAGCAGCGCCAGCATCGCTCGCTCTCTCTCCGTCTCTCTCATTTTACGCGCAGACTGTCCGCCGTAGCGCGCCGAGCAGACATGGGCAAACTGCAAGAATTTGACATCACTTTCACCAACAACAAGGTGGTCTACAGCCCGGGGGAGTCTATCACCGGAACGCTCAAAATACGCACCGCCAACTCGCTGCAATACAAAGGTAATCCAAGACACCGTTTTTACGCATTTTGGGGTTTCTCGGTTACGTCGCTGGATATGAAGAAGTTACTTTTCCCTCCCCTCGTGGTTGCTTTAGCTCGTGTTTTTGGCTCTGTCGCGGTTGCTGGTTGCTTCTGGGAGTAGACTGAGCGCTGGTTCGTGTTTTGTTTGCGTTGAAAGTCAGCTAGAGCCGGAGACTGTTGATCTTTCTCGGTCTACGGTGCCCTTGGGTGCCCAGAAAGACGCCCTCGAATAAAAAAAAAAAAGAAAAGCGTACTGGGAAGTGAAAATCTCTGACCACATCCTCTTGCATGTCTCCGCGTTAGCATCACGTTATTACGACGCAAAAAATTGTTGTATTGTGCCAGAACAACAGGTGCGTAATTACAGTGTTATTAATGAGCAGTACCGTGACCACTCACTTTGTTTGGGTGCATTCAGTGTAACTTCCTCTTCTAGTCTTCTTCGCTCTCACTGGCTTTTTTTCTCAACAAATTAAAGGTTCCATCTTACACAAAATTAACTCCTGTGAGCTGTTTTAGTCTGAGACATTTTATAATGTTTGTTTAGTTTCCTTCACACATGTTTCATTAACCTTTTAAGAGACTGTTTACATTTCCAAAGCTCAAAATGGTACACTTTGTGATGTCATGAAGTGGTTTTTCAACTGAACAACTCCTTTTTACCTTTGGTTCAGTACAGATTGGAAATTCAAAGACTGAAATTAACCATTCTTGATTCTAGTGAAGTGAGTAATGAGTTCTAGTCTTGGTTTAGTCCTGGTTTAGTCTTGGTCTAGTCTTGGTCAAGTCTTGATTTGGTTTGAGGTTTAGTCCCGGTTTAGTTTTAGGATTGATGAAGTGATTGTGCAAGTGTGAATGAATGCTTATTTTGGTTCTAGTCTTGGCTTAATCATTGTCTAGTCTTGGTCTAGTCTTTGCTTAGTCCTGGTTTAGTCCTGATTTGGTTTCAGGTTTAGTCCCAGTTTAGTCTTAGCTTTGATGAAGTGGTTGTGCAAGTGTGAATGAACATTTATTTTGGTTCTAGTCTTGACTTAGTCCTGGTCTAGTCTTGATCTAGCCATTGCTTAGTCCTGTTTAGTCCTGGTCTAGTCTTGGTCTAGTGCTGATTTGGTTTAGTCCCAGTTTAGTCTTAATTTTGAAGAAGTGATTGTGCAAGTGTGAATGAACACTTACTTTGATTGTAGTCTTGGCCCTGTCCTGGTCTAGTCTTGGTCTAGTCCTGACTTGGTTTCAGGTTTAGTCCCAGTTTAGTCTCAGGTTTGTTGAAGTGATTGTGCAAATGTGAATGCACCTTTATTTTGATTCTAATCTTGGTTTAGTCCTGGTCTAGTCTTGGTCTAGTCCTGGTCTAGTCCTGGTCTAGTCTTGGTTTAGTCCTGATTCAGTTTCAGGTTTGGTCCCAGTTTAGTCTTAGTTTTGATGACGTGATTGTGCAAGTGTGAATGAACCCTAATTTTGATTCTAGTCTTGGCTTAGTCCTGGTCTAGTCTTTCTTTAGTCCTGGTTTAGTTTTGGTCAAGTCTTTGCTTAATCCCAGTTTAGTCTTAGTCTAGTCTTTGTTTAGTCCTGTTTCAGTCCTGGTCTAGTCTTGATCTAGTCCTGATTTGGTTTCAGCTTTAGTCCCAGTTTACTCTCAGTTTCGATGGAGGGATTGTGCAAGCGTTAATGAACCCTTAGTTTGATTCAAGTCTTGGCTTAGTCCTGGTCTCGTCTTGGTCTACTCATTGCTTAGTCCTGGTTTAGTCCTGGTCTAGTCTTGGTCTAGTCCTGATCGCATTTCAGGTTTAGTCTCAGTTTAGTTTTAGGTTTGATGAAGTGGTTGTGCAAGTGTGAATGAACACTTATTTTGTTTCTTATCTTGGCTTAGTTCTGGTTTAGCCTTGGTCTAGTCTTGGTCTAGCCCTGGTCTAGTCTTTGTTTAGTCCTGGTTTAGTCCTGGTCTAGTCTTGGTCTAGTCTTGGTCTAGTTCTGATTCGGTTTCAGATTTAGTCCTGGTCTAGTCTTAGATTTGTTGAAGTAATTGTGCAAATGTAAATTAAACCTTATTTTTATTCTAGTCTTGGCTTAGTCCTGGTTTAGTCTTGGTCTAGTCCTGGTCTAGTCTTTGTTTAGTCCTGGTTTCATCTTGGTCTAGTCTTGGTCTTAGTCCTGATTTGGTTTCAGGTTCAGTTTCAGTTTAGAGTCAGCTTTGTGCAGGTGTGAACGCAATCAACGCAACCTTAAAGAATCTGTCATCTTTACATTAATCTGAGATTTACAGTGGGAACGCCCTTCCTATGACCCCGTTTCTCTGATAAACTGTAAACCGTTATCATTTTTCCTGTTTGGTGGAGTTGAGGTTGGAGTTACGGTGTATTTCCTGTAGTGTAACATATCAATAACACATATTATAGTGTCAAAGTAAGCTTCAGAAGCTCACATGTTCAGCAGTTGCCGAAGTTCAAGAGTTACCACAGTAGCTTTAGACATTATGACAGAACTTAGATACAATGCTTTATAACATGCAGTTCTGTTTTTTCTGCTGTGTCCTTGGGCAAGACACTTCACTCACCTTGTCTTAAGTGTGTGTGTGTTAGTGGTGGGAGGGGCCAGTGGCTCAGATAGGCAGATGTGGCAACAATAGGAGTTTAAAACCACCGAGTGCGGAGTGAAGGAAGAACGCAAACGTGACTTTGAGCATCTGGAAAAACATTTTACAAGACAGACATTATTCAGCTGAAATCTAAAATCGTTTTGTAAAGATTCAGACTTTCTAATCAAGGAAAAAAACTGTATATTACTCTCTTAGCAGTAACTTAATATACTATTTACTCTCACTTTAAAGTTTTCATATCAAATACTATGATGACGACTTTGAATTAGAGATGGACAATAGAAATTTCTGGTATCAACACGATATCAAACCAAGTACTTTCTGAGGTATTTTTTCAATATTACTCAAGCTGCGTTTACATGATGACGGTCTGAACAGAAGGCGCAAAAGTGGCGATGCGTCTTCGCTTTATATTCCGCGTTTAGACGAGTGTTTTCAGGAGGAAATCTACGCACATACGATGACGCAAAAGTGTGTGGAATTGGATTGTGTGTGTTTGTACTTAAAGCAACAAGAGCGTCTTTGGACATACAGAAGTTTTCACGCCACGCATTTTCATCAGCTCCTCCTTCCACAAAATTGTTCCACCATCGACAGGTTCTCCAGGTCTCGTCCATATCCGTCTGACTCGCCTGCATCCAGAATTGGACAGAGGTGATTGCAGATCCTTCTCTGTTCACTAATAGTATCTCTGCAGATTCTCCACATTTGTTGGGAGCCTCCTGTAAATTTATTAGAGCTGAAAGTCCGACGCATGGAAATTATCCGACATGTTTGTTTCTGTGTTCTGTTTGTATGTGATGTAAACTTGTATGCCAGGAGTGTCAAACTCAAATTCACAAAGGGCCAAAAGTAAAAACTGGGCCAAAGTCATGGGCCAAACTAAATATTTATTGAAAAATGTATCTTCTTTTGAGATATGTAATGTTAAAGCTTTTCTTTTAAAATAAATGTTTAATAATAGTTTTGATTAAACATTGAATCCAGAACAAGCAAAATATAAAATAATAACAACATTTTAAATAAGTAATGTCTCTATAGCCTGTATCTGTAGCCTGCGGGCAGCTCTAATACAGATTTGATATGATCTCGCGGGCCAAATATAATTATATTGCGGGCCAAATTTGGACCCCAGGCCTGAATTTGACATGTCTGGTGTACGCGACGTGAGCAGATCTGACCAGAGTTTTGCCTCTTGGGCAGTGTAGACGGTAGGGCTGTGTATCATGATGAAGTTGCCGATACGATACATACCTCGATACATAGGCCACGATACGATACATATCTCGATACAGTGAGCTTTTGATTCAATATGATATATTTCAAATTGATTCAATACAGTTCAATAAAAATAAAGACTAAATCATGTCTGTGATACTAACAGTCTTTGTTAAACCAATTTTTGTGCAAAGTTCATATGAAACACAAACATTTTATTCATCAAAACTGTGAAAATGTCAAATGTGTCGCATAAAAAAGTTTCCTTCCGCTAAACAAGCAACAAAACTGTAGCAGTGTAACAAAATAATTTAGTAAAATATACCAAAAAATACTGTTGGTGATATAGCGATACAGATATCGATACTGTATCATCACATTAAGTGATGCAATATATCGATATTTCAATATTTTTGCACACCTCTAGTAGACGGAAACACTATGGTGGAGCGTGTTCAACTTTTCCACTCTGGAGGTTGGTTTTTGCATTTTTAAACCCCAAAAATGCCGTCACCGTCTAAACAAAAGGCACTTCCAATAAAATATTTTGGTCGTTTTTACCCGCAAACGTTCTTTAGTAAACACGCCCTCAGATCTAACCTCTTGGGCGAAGGCATTTCATAAAAACATACGGATGTGTTTTGACATGTTTATTTCTATGGTCTATTAACTCCTAACACAATATGATCACCATGTTACCTTTAATTGTTTTGAAAAAGCCATAATTCACCCAAATCAACGTATTAACATATTTTATGAGTTTCACTTTCATTTCTGACACTCCCGCATTCTCCCCTCGCGTTGTTATCCAAGTCACTCCTTCAAATCAAACTACTGCACATCACATCCGGTTTGTGAAACTGCCGTGTTTCGTATCCCGCTTTTGTGTATTTATGGAGAATTGTCGAGTGGGAGCATGTGTGACGTTGGCGTGTGGGCGGAGCCTTGGACAGAAACTTACAGGAGGGTTTGAACGTTGAGATCGCTAAAATATTGAAACCTGCAAGGACGACTAAAAAAACCTCTTCATGCTTTTGAAGAGGGAACAAAAACCTCTTTAAATTTTGCATATGTTAATGACTTTTGATATTTGCATGAAAGTATCAGTATCGAGTCAGTATTTCTATATTTGATACTTTGAATCTTTGTTCCTCTTCCTCACCTGAT